ATTATTATTTATTATTATTATATATATATATATATATATATATATATATATATATATAGGGTACAACTATTTTTCAAATTTTCTATTGTCATAATTAGAATTTTTTTAATAAACTATATTTGATCCTTAGAATTATTCATTTTATTACAATTGATTTAAAGATATGTATATTTTTATTCTCATCAAGGCGATTTTGTGAATTTGCAATTATATTACTACTTATTGAAGAGGATACTTAAAGTAAAAAAAATAAATAATTAAAATCATAAAATATAAATATAAAAATGATTTCTAAAAAATAATAAATTCTTTTTTAGTCACGTTTACCATTAACATCAGATGATCCTCGATGGTCATTTTTACCGTCAAAAGATATTAAAAATACACAAGAAAATTCATATTCTTCAAGTTCTGAATCTGAAACTGAAGAAGCAGCTGCATCCCCATCATCTACAGTAGAACCACCACCTGGGAAGTGGTATCATGTTTCGGATTCTAGGTATATATATATATTTTTAATACATAATTATAATATATATATTTTTGTATTTTATATGAATGTAAATATATCGTATATCATTTACTTTATTTTTATATTATTAAATTATTAATCTAATATTTAATTAGTTATTATTATGTAGCTAATTTTGATTAAAAGTTTATTTTATTTTTTAGAGTAACGGAAGTCGATGAAACAACAGTGTTACAAAGACAAGCTTATCTTCTTTTTTATGAAAGAATTCTTTGAGCATTTTGGTAACTAATTGATATACAAGAAATTTGGATTTTGGAACAATGAAATATAAATTAAATGAAAAATAATAGAATGGATTTTAAAATATAAACTACGATTATTATTTAAATTAATCAAGAGTAATATTAAAATCTATTCTTGGTATTCGTAATTTTAATTTATTATTGACGTCAAATGGAAATTTATATCTATCTATTTTTCATTCTAACTAATCATATTGAAAAAGCATTATTTAGTTTCTTCTTATATTTAATTTGAAATATTATACTTATTATTTAGAATATAATTGTAAAATGTTAATTTTTTTCAAATATTAAAAGTATTTGTATGCATTATTCTCTACAATAACAAATGATATTTTGTTTAATAATACAATAATTTCTGTTCCATAACAGTTATAAGAATCTAATAATATCAGATTATCAAAACAATTTTAAAATATTAAAACAGTTTAAATAAAAGAATTAAATTTATGTCTGAAATAAATAAATAGTAAATTTTATATTATAAAATTTTATTAGAAATTAATATTTTAATCATTAAATAAATAAAACAATAAATTTACATTAATAGAATTGTTCTAGATGTTGCTGTAATTAATAAACTAAATGGAAAGATCTATACTTCATTTTATATTTACCTTATAAAGCTTTCCTTTTTAAATTTAAAAATTATTATTATTTTATATTTTTAAATATTTATTTATAGTGAAAGTACAAAACGATATATAAAAATAAAATGAATTTAAATCTATATAAGAGATAAAAAAGACTATTTAGTAAATTAGTATATTTTATAATAGTATATTAATGTATGAAAATTATATTTTTATTTACATTATTACTTATTCTCTTTTAGAAAAATATAATTTAAATTATGTAACTAACTGATATGAAAATATAACTATTTATTTTAAATATAGAATTATTTACTTTCATAAATTCTCATTTTATTGATAAATTATTACAAAATATTAATATTAAATATATAGAATATAAATTATATAATATAAATATTGCAAAATTGTGTATTTTATATTTTATATCAAAATAGATATTGAATTAAAATAACAAAATATGTTCCTTCTTAAATGTTTTATTTTTTAAAATGATAAAAAATAAATGATTTAAAAAAATAATTAATTTATAAAATTTTACATTTTAAAATTTTAAGAAAACTTAATTAATAACTTCAATTTCTGAAAATATATTTTTATAATGTATATTCTAAATATTTTTAATGTTTTATATAACAAAATTGAAAATTTTAATATTCTTCTTAATTGTTTAACTTTAATTTTAAGAAATATATTAAAACTAATTTAAATAATACTATAAATAAGTAGTACAATAAAAAATAAGTAATATAATATAACAAAATATATTATATATTAATGTAATATAATATTTTATAATTTAAGATTGTATTCTTAATCTTTACTCCTTGAAAAAATTTTAAAATATATAAATATAAAAATTATGTTAATTATATTTGGATATATTTTTTTCGATATTTTGATGAATATTATTTTCATTAAATTGGATTAAAAATGAAAAGTGAAAGTTAAAAGTTAAAATGTATTTATAGATAATAATATTTCATCATTTAGAATTCAGCTTATTTATATTTTAAATAATTAAATCATAAAATTTAAAATATATTTAGAATAATAATACATATATAATTTTACAATTTAGTACAGAAATAATTAATTTTACAAAATATTTAATATTAAAAATTATGAAATATTTTTTTCAATTATATATCCAAATTTAATTATCAAAGAAATATTTTTTATATATAAAATATTATAAGTATTTTATATAAAATAATATACAAAATAATTACACACAATTAAGGAAATAAAATTTAATAAGATTTATAAATATCATAAAATTATATAGGTCATGAAAAAATTTCAAATTAATTAAACAAAATGCAGCATTAATTCATTATATCATTTTTTTTCATTTTTTATTAAATAATGATATTTTAAAAATTAATTTTAAATATGCTGTAATTCATAATATAATTATAGTATACTATTAATTAGATATTTTAAATCAAAGTTTATCTGTAATGGCTATTTCTGTTATAAAATAAAAATAATTTAGACATATTTAAAATATTATACAATATTTTTTTCCTTATTTTTTTCACATTAATTTTTTTTTTCAATGAATATTACAATATTTCAAATGTTTTAAATCTTTTTATCTGTTATACTTATTTAATAAATATAAATTAAATAAACAAATAAAATGATCCTTATTTTTTACTGTGGATACATTTTCAAAATAGCAACACAGATTTCTATTGGATCTGTTTCAAATGGATGAATTAGCATAGCAGTTCTCACATGTTCTTCAGGGAAAATATTTGCTAAATGATAATGTATTTTTGTTCTGGTATCAAGGAATTCTCTTAATACATCTGATGGCATAGCCGAATATAAAGGAGATGTAACGATATTTAATTGTGGATCTGAAGCACCTAATCGTTGATTTGATCCAGATGGTAAAGACATACTTGAATTATTGATAACCAAGCTTGATAAGAATCGGGTGCTGAAGCAATACGTGTTACATGCTGATGACATTGTCCTTCAGAATGTTCCCAACTAAACAATAAATATTTTTTAAATATAATATAACTTTTTATTCAATTATGAATTATAATTCTAATTACTGATTTAATGTAAATGATTTTTTTTATTATCATATCTATTTAATAAAATATAATATTTATTATATTTAAATTTTGAAATCAATATTTTTAATGTAAAAATAATGAAAGGAAGACTTACTTCAAACCAACCCTATATGCTGATTCATTACTAGAATGTCTAGTTAAAGCTCTATGCTGTACTGTAGATGTTATTTTAGTTTGCTGTGATAATGAATTTGTTTGAGATGCTTGTTGATATTGCCTCAGTTGATGAAGTCGAGGATCGAAAACGGGATTCAAAGTCAATTGTCTTTGTAGCTTTTTATGTTTATTTTGCGATTCTCCTTCTAACTTATTCAATCTTCCTACTGACCAACCAGAAGAATGATAAGCTATTTAAAAAAGTTGTTATAATTATGTTTCAATAGCAGTAAAAAATACATAAAATAAAATGTAAAGCATAAAAAAATCTTTAAATAAATACTTTTTTAAGTAAAAAAATAATATAAATTTACCTTGAGAACTCATAGTAGAAGATACTTGTGATCCTTGCATTGAAGAATTTATTGGTTGATCAAGTGTGACATTTTCTGCGGATTTACTTTTTATAACTGAAGATAATGATTGAGTACTAGCAGTTACTGTAGATTTGGTTTTACAAAGTGGTTGATGCTGAAATACATTTATTAATGTATTACTTGATAAAAAAACATTTAAATTTGAATCTCTTACTTGAAGTTGTTTTTGTACATGTTCTACTAGTTTTTCTGTGACTGATTTTTGAGGATGAGGACCTCTTTCTGGATGGCGAAATTTACATTTATTACCATACGTACATTTCTACAATTAAAAAAATTATTTTTCATTATACTTTATCATTAACAATAATTGTTATTTTTAATAAAGATTTTGGCTATAATTCTATGAATGACGAATCGAAATGAACTTAGTGAGTTTCATAGAGATAAAAAATGGACAAAATATAAAATTTCAATTTTGACAATTCATACATTTATAAAGATACAAATTTTCACATATAATAGATATTCATTTCTATTTTTTAATAATTTGTATTTTTTGAAAGCATGAATTGTTTTTGAAATTTTATATTCTGAATTCACTATATATTCCTATAACACTCACAAAGTCTCACCTCAATTGAAATCAATCATTTCAATTTTTCAAATTTATTGAATTAATTATTATTTAAATAATTTAATGAAACACACTTTTGCATATGGACAAGGTGGTGCTGGATCAGACTTTTTAGGAAAAATTCTCAAAAAATTATCTAAAGTTGGACCACTTCTACCCAATGGATCATCTGGTGGCATAAAACGATCATTTACAAAAGTATACATTAAAATTCTTTCTTCTACAACTTTTCGAAACTCTGGATTTTCCTGTGCTAAATCTCTATAATTATCATTGCTAACAACAATGCCGTCAATTTCTGCTGCAAGTTTCAAAATATAGCGATCATCATAACAAACCATTCTTTTGCCACCAACTAATCTGCAATTAAAAATTATGAACTAATATTAATAATAATATTAATAATTAGGAGAATATGTATAATAAATTACTTAAAATTTACATTAATGAATTATATTTATGTACAAACCTAGATGGAGTAAAAACTAATAAACGATCCCTTTCTAATTCTCCTAAAATTTCTTGATCTGCGATTGGATTATCAATCCTAGAAGTTTCCTTTCTCCATTTAGGCACAAATACAGTGATTTCTTTATGTCCTCTTGATTTAAACCAATCTACACAAATCTTGATTCCTCTACATGAAAATATTTCTTTGTTTCCATGACTCATTGCCACATTACTTCCATCGATTACAACAGATCTGAGACTACATCCACTATTTTCAGTAGTTGTTAAATCAGAATCTACAACACTATCAGATTCTTCTGGAGTATCAACTGATTTTTGAGAACAGCTAGCACCCAATTTTATCAATTCAGCTAATAGTTCATTTTGTTCTGGATCTGGACCTAATTTTTCCAGTGCAGTTTGAACTAAACGTTCTGTGTAACCAAGTTTTAAGGCGAATTCTACTCTAGCTGTGTATCCTAAAAAAATAATATTTAATATTTTTAATAGATTTATTGATTTTCTATAAAAAATTAATATTAAATAATTTTTTAATGTAATCAAAGATATGTTCAGATAGATTTTAATTCAGAAATTAAGTTAAGTTTCAAATGTTTTCTAAAATTATGAATAAAATAAATATATGAAAATAATTTAAAATTTATTTATGAAAATAAAATAAAAATAACAAAAATAATAATAAAAATAATGATTTATTTTTCTCCTGATATTATATCTATATAACTTTATTCTGAATAATTTTTATTGAATTCTATATATGCATAAAATATTATTTAGTATTCAGATAATAATAATTTAATAATAATTTGTAAATTGAAATCTTCAATCTTTGTTTTTATATAAGATATTTGTTCTAATACTTAAAATTTTGATAAGTACTTGTCTATGTGGAGATTACATTAGAAAAAATATATATAATTATATAATTTTCAAGTTGTTATTTTCTTAATAATAAAGCCATAAATTAAAAATAAATATATTATATTAGTATTAATAACATAATATAAATAAAATATTTAATAAATGAGTATAAGCTAAGATTATTTAATCAAGTTAATTAAATTAATTAAAACCATGCATATTTCTTCCATATATTTATCAAACATGAAAACTCTAAATTTAATGTAAAAAATAATGAAGACTAATCTATTTTAAAAATATATCAAAGAAATAAAAAAACAGATATCAACAAAGCATGTAGATATATAACAACAAAATCTTGAAAAAATAATTTAGATCGAAAGTATTAGTATATTTAACAAAAAAAAGGATTAACAAATTGGTTAAAAGATTGATAGTTAGGAGGAGAATATTTGATTTGAATAAATTGGAAAATCTGTGCCTTTTTAAAACGGGTAATAAATAAAAGAAGCAGGTGAATGAGGACAACTCACCAAGGAGAGTAGTAAGAAACCCGACCTCGAATAGACTCAAATATCTATGATGGCCTGTCACATAAAGAAGCTTAGGATCTTCGGTTGAAACACACGAAGCATCAGTGCCAGGAGGGGAGGAATTCCTAAAATGTTAGAGAAATTTGTGATAGGTATGTGCACGATGTCAAGAAAAAAGTTTAAAGATGATTTTAAAGTGCATGGTTTCAAAATTACATGTAAAGAAAGGTTTAAGGATAAATGATGATATATTTTTTCAAAGGAAAGCATAAATTTAAGATTTAAATAGATTAGCCATTCATAAAAAATCCTATAATTATCTCCACATAGGTGAGTACACAATACACAAAGCTTTTTGAAATAAAGTTTTTTTAAATAATTAAAGGATATTAAATTTAATAATAATTGTTAAAACTATTGAAGATATAATATACATAATATAAAGTTAAATTTATTAAACCATTACTAGTAGGAATTCATTACATTATACTGCCATTAATAAAGTAAGAAATTTTTATACATTTAGTTAGTTAAAGAAAAATTATTTTTATAAGAAATCATATACCTGGACTTTGAGTAGGTGGACTTCCTTGTATTGTAACATATTCTGCAAATTCAGCAGCCAATGTATCCGAGGCGGTCCTGGACACATCTGAATGATTCGAAGTAGATACCTATGATTTGAAATTAAATTATTAATGATTAAAATGTTCGCTGAATTATTAAAACATTTAAACTTTAGATACATATAATAATATTATTTCATATTGTTATAAAAGTTTTTTACAAAAAAAAAACTTTTGCCAGCATAAAAAATGAATCGATTATGAATTAAAATTGTATTATATTTTCTATGAAATATTGTTATAAATATGTATAAAAAATAATCTACATACGTCAAGAAACTTGATGTATAAAAAAAAAAATGGAAATTGAAAATTTATGAACAAATCTGATAAGAAAGTCAATATAGATGAAATAAACAAGAAATCGAGATATTGAAAAATTTTACACATAAATTTTTTAATAAAAAACAAATTTACAAATTACATTATCTTTATTATAATAAAAAAGATTCATAGATTGAATACTTGAATAAATACCTGCAATTCTTGTGAATGAATATCTGTAGATCCAATTGGATCTTCAGCTTCGTAGTCGCTGTCGTAAGAAGAGTCTTCAGCGTCAGCAATACTTTCAGTTTCGAGAACAATACAATCTACGTATTTCTAAAAGCAATGTAAAAATTAATAGTAATAAATAATGATTAATATCAATAATATCAATAAATAAATAGTGATAAATATTAATAAGAATTTTTCAATAAAAAATATATTTCATAAATTATTATTTAAATTCATTTCTTTTATTAGTTATAATTTTTCATTAATAATAAAATTAATATACATAATGATGATTATTAATTGTTTAAATTCAATATAGATGAACTATATTATATTATATTATATTATATTATATATTATATCATAATTATATTATACAATATATCGATGCATAACTCGATAATATATGATTAAAATAATTAAGGATATTAAGTTCCAATTATTTTCTACTTTCGATTCGTTTGATTCAAGAATCAAAAATTAATGGAAAAGATATTTTTATCAATTAATTGACGGTGTCATTAGTCTACATTGCCTGTGAATTCTGGCGAATATGAAGATATGCAGATATTTATTTATGATTTTCAATAATGATTTTATAATGCTATATTTGTTATAATATATATAAAATAATTTTTATTATTTCTTATTTATTTTTTAATAAAAAATTTATATTTATATTTATAAGGATTTTGTCTTATATAATGAAAAAAGTACAACGATATACAATATTAATGATATCATATATTTTATTTCATATATTTATCATTACATTAAGTTTCGATAGTACTAATATATCTGAAATGATATATATGATATGATATATATTTTTCGTTTTAAAAATTTTAAAGCTCTCTTAATATTTATTATATTTTTCCTATTATTTAACTACTTATATTTACTATTATTGGTTTGCTTAGATATAAATATTTCTACTGCAAATTAAATTGTTTATAAATCTTATCCGTACATTTTATTTTTATCTTGATATCTATCTTTTAAAGGTGTGCTAAATGTTACTTAACATTCCTATATATTTCTTGTTTTGAACTTCTAGTGGTGAAATGCATATGGAGGCCACATGTATATGCTATATACTTGTACTAAAGCAATCATCACTTTACGATTACATATACATTTTTGTGTGTGTCATTGTCCTCAAAACAATTCTCAAGATAAATCAATATAATGAACTTAATAAAATAACTATGTATTTATCAAAACTTAAAATACCAATTTAACAATACATTTTACAAATAAAATTGTAAAATATCACTTCTAACTTCTACGACTTAAATATATTAGATTGTATTCATTTTCAAAGTAAATTAAATAAAAATATTGATATTATAGTTTTTAAGATTTCATCTACTATCTGTGAGAATATTAAAATTGAAATGTATTTTTTTTTTAAGAATGATAGATCTTTGTTTTTAAACTTGCTTTAAATGAGCAAAAATTTTGCAAATTTTCTTTTTTTAATTTATATTTGAAAATTTCAGTTGAATATCTTTGCTTTTTATATCTAAAAATCCAAGTTCGGTTTAATTAAGATTTCATAAGATTAAATATATAATCTTAATCATATCATAAATATATTAAATAGTTCTATTTAAAATTAATAAAATTTTATTAATTTTTCATTTATTTATCTTTCTAAATATTTAAATTGATATTTATTAAATTAAATAAAAAAATAAATTTTCTCATAATAAAATAATAAATTATAATAGAATTAAAAAAAACTCATTATCTTTTCAAATATGGAAAAAATAAATAGACATCTCATTAAAAAAGAACATCCATTTACATAAAATAAGAATTTTCGAATTAAATAATTGTTTTTGTAAATAACTATCAATTATATTAACTTTAATAACAACTACTAGTTCTCTGTTATACATATGAACCTATTCAAAAAATTATGTCGTGCATTATTAAATATAATCTTGTTAAAACGAAGAATGAAATTATTTTAACAAAATTTACTTTTTTCTTTTTATATAAATATATCCTTTAAATATATCACAAGTACATTTATATTAAAATAAAGGATATTATTTTATTTTCTATCTTTTTCATTAAGAAAAATAAAAATTATAAAAATTCTTTTCAACAGAAGTGATGACTCATCGTTAATCGACTTAAGCGTTGAGCGACAATAGCTTTCTTCTTTCGTTCGCTTGCATTCACTATATTTATGTTACCAACTTAAACTGAAGTTAGAAAATATTTGAAATTAACACTTATTTATAACAAATATTTATTAATATAGAGTTCACAAATTGAAACAACATACATCATTATTGTATGTTAAGATATAATGAAGAAATAAGAATTATGCGATTACTTTTTAATTATGAAAAAATGCCTTCAATTATTCAGATTAATTGATTAAAAAAAAAAAATTAAAATAGATACTGTTTAAAATAAAAAGTAAAATAATTACAAAAAATTAAAACAAAAATTCAGTAAAAAAAATTATTAATTAAATTAAATTTTAATAAATTATGAATTGAATATAATTTTTATTTATCATTAAATCATAAATAATATAAAAAAAATTTTTGATTTTATATTTATCTATACCTATTATATTATAAATTTTGATAATTCTATAATATTTTTCGAAGAATAAATTGTTCAATCGTAATTTTGGTTTTCTTTATTTCTCTATATATGGTATGTGAGTTTTTATATAAATTTCATTTATAATAGATATTTATATAAATTTTGCTATCATATTCTATAATTAAAAATAATAAAATAATATCATTTCATATTATAATTTCATATCGTATTTATTTTATTTACTTACTTTGTATCCAATCAACCATAATTGAGATAATTATTAATAAAACATCAATTATCTTTAAAATAATATTTTCAAATCTATGAATTTCAACATAAAATTAATTAACTGAATGAAGTTATTCAAATAATCTGTAAGTTATATAAACAAAAATTCAAATATTTAAATATTAAATTCGATCTATGATATCGAATTTACGTAAAAAAAAAACGCAACTTCTGATTGAAGCAATAATAAGATAATATATATTATTGTTATTAATATATTTGTTTATTTATTATTAATATGTTTTTATAAATGTAATCAAATTGTAAAAATTCTTTATTCGCAATATGACATAATTAAGGAAATATTTAGGCTTTGTTTAACAGCTATATTTATTTCTGGTATAAGAAAATTTGAATAAAAAATACAAAGCAAAATAAATAGATAATGAAGTTATATATTAACATGTTTTCTATTTTTCATTGATATTTACCATTTTCAAACAAGCAATAAATACATAGTAAAATAGAAAAGTGGAGAAATATTCGATAACAAATTTGACAACTTTTTTTTTAAAAAAATATATAATAAAAAGTTGAATTATAGTTTAATACATATAATGTATAGTCACCATTTAAATTATTTTTGTAGTTTTTAATTAAAAAAATTCAAATATATAAATTTGTATTTCTATTTTACTATATATTACTATATAATATATATAATTATAAAAAATTTTCAATTATTTAAAATTATATCCCAAAAAAACAATTTTTATAATTATTTTGAAATAAATTATTGAAAATTTAAAAAAAAAGTTATATCAATTTCTTCATTATTTCAATTTAGGTCATGTGGTCATACATGACACTGTTACTTATAAAATAATAGAACAGAAAGAGTATAACATTAATTAAAAAAAAACATGCAATAAAAGATTATTAGTTAAAAACTTTATCAAATGATAAAAAATAAAAAATATTTTATTTTAAATTAAATTATTTTTTACAAAATAAATCAATCATATAAATACTTTAATAAATAAATATAAAAAAACAAATACTTTAATAAATATTAATAAGAATAAATAACAAAATATTTGTTTTGCGTTCTTTAACGCTGTTTTATGAAGTTTTATTAATGTTATGAAAAATATATTGTAGTTTAGAATTTTCTTTAATTTCACGTGTGCGTTCATACATACACATGCGCATATAATACAGTCAAAACCATTACTATCTATATCTAATCTAAATTGTCACGTTTAAAAATACAACAAAACAAATGAAGAAATCATAAACGACAAATTTCTGATATTACAATTTCTAATTTTTACAAAATATATATATAGCCACATCTAAATTTATATATTAAAATTCAAAAAAACGAAAGTATTTTCTAAAAGAATTTACCTTTCCGGCGACGGTCATATCTCCTTCTACGAATCGTAATCGATCGTATCCTTTCGCGTCCAAAGACCTTCTCGAATCCGTACAAACACTATTATGTACACAAATCATACACACGACTGCGCGCGCGCACACAACGTAAAGCACGAAAGGAAGAAAGATGGAAAGAATAAGTAACTTTCACAAATACATTCCAGGCTTTGATTAAAAAGTGTCGATTTGAACTTAATTCTTTTAATAACGGTAATAGTAATTTATAATATTCTATAGAAAGAATTTTAAATAAAAAGAAATAAGAAAGTCTAAAACACGCTTCCGGGATATTCCGTTAGATCCTGGAACGGTATCGATGTGCAGAAGAAAGCAGGACAAACTCACGACTACTCGCGGCGACGGCCGGTCAGTGAATGGAGCAAGCGAGAGCTACGACGTCATTACCTCCCTTCTTCCCCCCATTACTCATGGTCTCCGAGCAATGTCGTCACATGCAGCGATAGCCACGAAACTACGAACAAAGTGAACTAGTATCAATAAGTTTATGAATAAATGAATAATGTACAAATGTTACAAACTAGTATGTATCCTTTAAAATAACTTAAAATGACAATTTTAATATTACTAATTTTTTAGATTTATTTTTATTTTACAACTTACGAAATGCAGTATGATTTCATCTTTACTTTGTAACCTTTAATAGACATTTTTCATTATTAATGTAAGAGTGAAATAAATAATATCTATATATATATAAATATATGAGATAATCAAAATTATTATAATTATAATTATATTTGCATATGTAATTATATATTTTATATATTAACAATAAATTGAACTATTAATATTAATTATATGATCTATGATAATTTGTTACAGGTTTTATTATTTTTATATTTTATTTTTATATGAAAGTTAAAAATAAAATACCTAGTATTAAATTATAAAAGAATTTTAGCCTTAGGTTGTAATTTTGTAACTAAAGGATTATTACCTAGGTTAAAAAAAAAATTCTGATTGCATAATCGGACCAAGATATGCTATTGTTCTTATTGTAATGTCGAATCGAGATATGATTATTTATCTTTCATTATGACCAGAAAAAAAGATAGTCGTTCTCGATTGAAATCAAGACAATGATTTGTTCTTCGTCTTGAATCGTAGATAATGACTGAGAAATGAAATTGTTATATTTTTTGGTTATAACATCGGACTTAAATAGTTATTGCTTATCTTGAATTGTAACTTGAAAAGAAGATCACTGTCCTTCGATTATGTCGATTGCATAATCGAATTAAGACATAATTGTAGTTTATCTTGAATCGTAGAGTATTAGATCATGATCGTATTAAGTTAAAATATGGTTGCTGTCTGTCTTAAAATTTTTATTTTTAATTTTAAATCGTTAAATTACACAATCATTCATATACAGTTTTCATTATTTTTCTAAAAATGTTAGTTTATAAAATATATACTAATAATTAGCATACATTATATATAATTTATATAATATATAATATATAATTATATATAATTAACATATATAATTAATTATGTAGAACAAAATTAATTTAAAAAATTATTGAATTGAATTTATATTTTTAAAACATATTTATGTATGTGCAAATTAAATAATTAAATTAATAAAAGGAATATTAATATATTTTAAGTTTATTTATTAATCTACTTATTGATTTACATCTGTTTGAATAATTTTTTATGTAAATTTTTTAATTATAAATTGTAATAAATATTATTTGAAAACATACAATAGCTTAAAAAAAAGATTTACAAATACCATAAGTGCACAGTGCACATTAGGATAAATAACAAATTTTTAAATAGCATTTTATTAAAATATATTTTATTAATATTTTCATATTGATTATTATGCAACAAATAAATTAAAATATATTCATTTTGATATTAAAAACAAATTTATGACTGATCTTAATTAGTAATATACACTAAATTGATCATTTTTTATGCTTCTTTTAATAATAAAAATATTTTCAAATTATAAAATTTGTTAATATATAAATATTAAATTGAAGTGGTGGTTTTTTTATTTTAACAAACACTGTGCATCATTAAAATTTGTAACTCTTTTTTGATATCTTACATATAAGAAATATATTTATAAATTGTTTATAATGGAGTTACAACATCATGCATAGCATATCGCCATGTCCATGCTCTCGCAATTTCATCAAATTTTTCACGATCGTTCATGTACATTTCACCCAATTCTGGCTCCATACAAACCTATTATATTATATTATTATATTATTATTATTAATTATTATGCATATTTATTTATTAATATTTATTTATTAATACTATATATTGAATTATGTTTTAAGTCTCATACAATTAAAAGTTCATACAATTAATTAGAAACATAAATTGATTAATTATAGATTATTATATATTTACAAATATATTTAATTATTATTTACTATATTACCTGGCAATAAGGATCCGTAAGCAAACTTTGAACACTGATTAATACTTTTGAAATTGTTAATGCTAATGACCAATTATGATGTATTGAGTCTATACCAACATCACCATGTCTAGAAACATTTGGATGAAGTATTTTTGTGAGGAATCTTACTATTGGTGGATATAAAGGATAACTGTAAAAATTAATATATTTCTTTAATCAATTTTAAAAAATTTCTTATAATAGAAATTTAATTACTATCAATTATGATAATTTAAATATATAATTAGAGAATTATATTTATACATACCTGCATGGTACTTGTAGATAAAGATAAAATAAACCTCCTTCATATGGACTTCCTACAGGCCCAGTTATAGTAGCTTGCCAATGACAACACATTTGATCTAAAGGAGTTGCTTCAATACCTTCAGGAGGATCTATTCTTAAACTTTTAAGTTCACTATGTAATCGATTTTTTCTCCATGAGTTTTCTTGAATTCTTGGTGATCGCGATCTCAAACAGGTTTGTGCTAAACATGTTCTGCAAGGTGCTGAAGAAGCCAAAAAATCATAGACTTTATACCAATTTTTAACATTTCCAATAGGTTTGTATAAAGGCCATCGTAATTTAACATTTTGTTGCCATTGTTGCGATGTTACATGCGTCGATAATAAACCACACCATCTACGGCAAACATTTGCAGCTGACCAAAGACTAACATCATCCAAATGTGAAAAAACAACTAATAACACTTCAGGTGGTAATCTTTCCATTAAACCTAATTCTGAAATAGGTTCATGTTCAACATGTTTATAATTTGTTAACATTTCTAATCGCTCAGATAAATTATATGATCTTGACATTTCTCCCATATTATTTTTATAATTCCAATGATAATGTGGACGATTTTCTACTTCTTTAACTTTCTTGATTGGAATCTTATTACGTAATTCTCCATCTGCCATAGATTCACAATTAAAAGTGGAAACTTTTTCTTTATAATTTTCATGATGAGTATCATTATTTCCATTATTTATATTTTGCATATTATTAGAATCCATGTTATGTGAAAGCTGTACATTTTGTGATACAATTGTATTCTTAAAACTATATGTATTTATACCATGATGTATTTTTTGCATAACTAAAATATTTTCATTTTTTAAAGTAGAACATTGTGCTATGTGACAGTTTATATTGGGAATATTAGGTACATTTAATACATTTGAAATTGCATTTTGTGGAGAATTTTGTTGCTGTTGACTAGCTCTTCTTTCATGATTATAATAAAGTTCTGTTGGTTCATCATTTCCTGAATCTTCATCATCTGTTTTCTAAATAAAAAAAATCAGAAAATATTGATATATGAAATATATTTCTAATTTTATTTCACTTTTTTTTATTAAACTTCATTTACTCATATAAAATATAAATTTTTACCAAGAATTAGTTATATAAATACTTATATAAATACAAATTAATATTAAAAATTTAAAAATTAATATAATAATCATATTAAAAAATAATATGACAATAATGAAATTTATGATAATAATTGTTACTTTATATAAAATATTAAAAAGCGAATTAAAATAGATAAATATTTTTTAAGAAGATATAGCCAAGATAATTGAAAACAAAGAAACATTTGTTACAAAAATACAATATATAATCAAAATTAACAATTAAAATATTAAAATATAAAATTATATATTATATAATATCAATATTTTGAAATTAAAATATATAAAAAAAATGTGATACCAATAAATAGTAAATTTAAGACGATCAAGCAAAAATATATAATAAAGTCTCAAGTTTAAATTCTTACCTTCAAAAACATTGATTTAAATAAATCTAAACAAATATTTACTAATTTTTGAATCCAATGTAATAATGAATTCTAATCTTAATTGTTCCATTGTTAAACATAATGTTGAAATAAATACTAATTCTAATTATTCTGAAATTGCATTATTCAAATGAAGGAGTTAGATATTATTATATTATATAATATAATATTTGAATAAATGAAGTTTTATTATACATTATATATGAAATATATAAAATATATATATATGAAAATAACTTACTTCACTGAAAATAGGAACTTGTAAAAAACCAATATCATTAGGAAATAAAAATGCATGACATGTTGAACAAACAGGTTCTTCAAAACATGGTCCATAATATCCATTACAAAAACAACAAGTTATTGTCTAAAAGAAATATATAAATTAAAATATTTATATATAAAGATTTATATATAATATTTTATATAAATATTTCTTATATCAAATATTTTATAACATATAATATAATTTAAAAAATAAACGAAATGTCTTCTATAAATTTAAAACATTCTATAATTAATAATATTTCTTGAAAGATTTTTTTTGCAATTATTTCAAATTTTTTTTAATATATTACATAAGTTATAAACTAAAATGTGATAATCTATTATAAAATCATTCTTCTTATTATTATAATTAATATTATAATTAAATAATATTAAAGACATTTTTTTATTCTAAATTACTTTTGTATTACATAAAATGGTTCATTTATTATCATCTTAATTTATATTATTATTATATCATTCAAAAATGTTTCAAATAAATATTAAATATTTTTATAATTATTTTTTATAATCATAAATATTATATTACAAAATTTATATTTATTAAAATTTTTTAAAAATTTTTTGCAATATTTTATATATAAAAATAATAATATAATTTTATATATAATTTTATAATAATTTTATAATAAAATAAAAATATAATGTAAATTTAAATACATATTTCAATTATTTAATTAATATTTAAATAATTACAATAATTACAATATTAAAATTTTATTATTCGAAAATATTTAATATTAAATAATAACATTGAATACTATATAAATACAATTATAAATACAAAAATTTAAATACATCCCTTTAATGTTTGTAAAACTTACCGAAAAATGAAATTCAGGACAAGGTACATATTCAATAGGCTCTGCAAATTCTTCTTCTAAATTTAAGTTTTCATTATAAGTATTTTCTTGATGTATCTTTTCTTTGCTTAGATGCGAAGAACAACCAACTACTTTATCACCAGCCATATTTGAATCATAACAAATATTTTTCTACAATAATTTATTAGGTTATCCAAATTATACGTATTCAGAAATATGTATATACATATACATTATTTGATCTTATTATATATATTAATATTATATTTTTAATATTTGTAATTACTTTAAATATTAGGAAAAGCAATAACACTATTTTATTATTTGTTTTAACAAAATTTGTAAATATAAGAATAGCAAAATAGCTATAGTTTTGACTATCTTCAATGTTTAGAAGTATAATCGAATGATATATGTACACATATATATTATACCAACATAAATACATAAATTTATTATTTTATTAACATAAATATTACATATATAAATATAATTATATTTTATTTAATCTTTATTATTTATTTCGCATATAACATTTAAAAAAATTATTTTTTTGGTAAAAATTTTTTTCTTATTTTTTGGTAAAAAATTGTTTTTATTTTTTATTATTATTATAAATTACTTTACATATTCTAAATTAAAATTTATAGGATTATTAATTTATAAAAAAATAAAATTATTTTAGAAATGTCAAATTATTTTATTAATATAAATATATTCTTTTCTTATTAATAACTATAAAAATACTTAAAGATGTGATTCAAATGATTTTTGTACTAATCTTTATAATATGAATGAATTTTGAAAAAAAAAAAATATATATATATTTCTGAAAATTTAGTTCATACATAAAAATTAATTAAACAAATATTTTAAATGTAATTGATATTATAATAAATATATATAAACCGATATAAAAATTTTATATATAATTTAAAAAGATATTAATTAATTGTGAATATTTTCTAAAATCAAAAAATAAAATTTATATATTATAAAATACAATTTATAAATTCATCTTTATTAATATTTATTTATTATATACTTGTTTAATAAAAAATATTTTATAAATAATGATTTTATGTATTTTATGTATTTTAAATATCATATAATACAATTTATTTGAACGTATTATTTCAAAAGGTTATAAATAACAAATAATTTTTTTTATTCCAATTTTTACTATTATTTAATGTTTTTTTATTATCCTTATTATATATTTATTATAAATATTGTTTTCTTTATTTATGTTGATTTGTATAAAAATAATTTTATATTTTACTTTATATTTATAAGAGTTTTATAACATTAGATATATTTTTCAGAGTTTATAGTATTCAATAAATTTTTATTTAACTATATTCTAATCAACATTAAATTCACAAATCATAAGTAATTGACAACTTAAAGATTTATTCGTGATTGGTGAAATATTTTCATTGGTTGGATACTAGACTTTTGTCATGTGATCATTTCCTATTTATGTTAATATCAGTGATACTGTCTCGAAATCTTGTGGCAAAACAATAACAAACTGTGTTTTACGATTGGATCGTATGAATTTTCGGTGCATAACTAAAAAAAATAGTGTAAAAGTAAATAACAATATATATTTTTTGTTTGTAATATCTTTTATCAAAGCTGGAAAAAAGTTAAATTTACAAGACATCAAATTCAGTAAATATTTTGAGCCAATGTTGTTGGCTAAGAAAAATATTTGCTGACGAAAGTCATGGTCGTTTCATTTGAGGGCGGTGAATGTACTATGTAATCGTATGATTGAAGATTGTTATTAATTTGCAATATCACAAAGTATGAAAACGGATGAATCCTTATATTAGGATTTTATTAATTACCTGAACTATCAATTTTGAATCCGTAAACATATACGGATTCTAATTTATTTTTGTTCTTTTTGGACTTATGCAAATTGAATTTAACTATCAAGTATATTTTATTGTTAAAAAATTTAGATTTTAAAAGTTATATTTTAAATTATTATAAAGAATAGAATATTTGAAAAAAAAAGAAATTGGTAAGTTTGTTATATTAAATATTAAATAATCTAAATTGTACTTTTTTGAAATAAATCTTATTAAAAGTTTACTTTTTAATTTAATTAATTCAAGATTTATATTAATGGGAGAATCTGGATACATTGAATTATTTTCGAAAATCAAAGCTAGCCCAATGGATGGAATAATAAAGCAAGAACCAAATCAAGAAATGGGTCCATCTTCAGCATCAGTACCAATACCAGGAGGACATAGAAGTACCAGAGGTGTATATGAACAATTTTCACCATCTCCATTGACATCAATATGGCCCAATAGATCGGATCATATAGAATCACCATTTAAAGTAGATTCTGATCAGTTAGATGATTTTTTTAAAACAGAGAAATGGGAAGATGATGACATATTACAAGTGGATAAAGCAGATCTTATTCAAGGACCTACACTTGCTGAATTAAATGCAAATGATGATACACTTCTTGGTGATTTAAATTTTGATGATTTACTTTTGCCAGAAGAAAGAATTCAACCATTTAAAATGGATGTTAATGTAGTTCAATCAGTTGCCCCATTATTTAATGATAACAATGTTGGATTTGCTCCAAGTAGTTTTCCACAGTCTGGTTCAACATATCGTAATATTCCAACATATATAAATACACATGGATTCAATTTAAATATAAATATCAATGTTGCAGATAATTTAGAAACAATTAGTCCTAATACTTTTCCAAGTCCAGGAACCAGTAACATTGCAGGTTTATATATAATTTTTCACTTTTATATTTCTATATTTGATAATTAATATTAACTTTTTTATTGATTTAAATATATAGTGAAAAAATTAAATAATTTTTTCTTTCTAATTACAAATTATTAAACTTTACTTGAAATAAAATTAATACATCTTCAGTATTTCTAAAATTCTAAAATAATATATTTTAATATTTTAAATATTTTGAAGTTATTAATAATAAAAAAATCATTTAAAAAAATATATATGTGCACATTTTAAAAAATTATTTTTTTTTTTATAGACTAATATTTGTATTTTAAAATAAGAACGATATTTTTAAGAAATATTTTTAAGAATTAATTTTAAAAAAAGTATTTTTAAATTAACTTTAAATAATTGTTTTAAAGGTAGTTCAACTGCAAGTTCTTCAACATCTCCACATCCAATTAATAAACCTAATGGACAATCTGCTCTTCATGAATTATTAATGAGACGATGTGAAAATTCTTTTGACAATACTTCCCATGGCCAAATGGATGTTGGATGCACAAATAATAAATCTAAAGTTTCTAGACTATCTATGTCTGCACCAACCAGAACAATGGGACTAGACCAAATTTGGGCTCGTAGAGAGCCACGTCCACATTTATTAAGTACTGGAAGTCTTGGTGTTGTTGAAGCAGGTTCAACAAGTAGTATAAGTACTGGAGGCGCGCTTAGTCCAGATCCATTGTATCATATTGATCATCTCAGTCATGATGAAGGTTATGAAGATAGTGATGATGATAGTGATCATTATGATGATTATAGCAGCGATAACGGTAATTTGAAATTTTTAAATAAATTATTAATAAATAATATTTTAATATTCTATTCTCTCTCTTTTAAAAATTCTTAATTTTATATATCTTTATATCAATAATATATATAAAATACAATAAAATAGATATTTGTATAGATACAGGTGGAAGTGATGGTGAAGATCAACATAATGGAAGTAGAGGAGGAGGTGGAAGTCTGGATTCAAATCGAGATAGTAAACATAATAAAAAAGAACGATATTTTTGGCAATATAATGTTCAAGCAAAAGGACCAAAAGGACAAAGATTGGTTGCAAGAACTCGTCTTGAAGATCCACATATTTTAAATGAAGCTACAGATCCTGTTTTTAGTCCTCATTGTGCACTTCGTGGAATTAAACACAGTGGAAAAGCTCGAAAAGGAGATGGAAATGATCTTACTCCAAATCCACGAAAATTATATAGTATAGGTCGCGAATTGGATAAATTATCTCGTATTATTAATGATATGACACCAGTTTCCGAGTTACCATTTACGGCAAGGCCCAAAACGCGCAAAGAAAAGAATAAACTTGCTTCGAGAGCATGTCGTTTAAAGAAGAAAGCTCAACATGAAGCAAATAAAATAAAATTACACGGCTTAGAACAAGAACACAGTTGAGTACTTATGATTATATTCATGTTAATGTATTTTTATATTTATATGCTACAACATTAATTAAAATTTAAGTTTTTTTAAAAACTAAAAAAAAAAAAAAAAATTTCTATTATATACATATACACATGTTAAACAATTTTTTCTAGTAAATTTCTTATGAATAAAAAAACTAATTTAGATAAATAATTATTGTTTTAGGACGATTAATTCAAGGTATATCTCAGGCCAAACAAACACTTGCAGCAAAATTAACAGAACCTAATCCTGAAAATCAAGAAGAGTTAACACGTCAAATGGAGAAATATTGTAAATTGGCTACCAGTTAGTATTTTTCTATAAATATAAATATAAATATAATTTTTGTATAAAAATTTTATTTTCTTGCATGATTTTAAGTAATATGATAAAAAAATATTTAATTATTTTCATTTTACCAATAAATTATTTAATTATTTTCATTTTACCAATAATTTAAATTTTACAAAATTTTAACTAATTGTTTTTAAATGTTTATTTTATATAATAATTATTTCTTTAATTATTTTTAAATTAAATTTAAATTTGATCAATATTGAAAAGATATTATTTTTTATTGTTACAGAAATACGGATAGCAAATCATTCAACTGAATTTGTTAATAAAGTATTGGATAAAGTACGTGCTGGTGTTCCTGATGGTGGCATTGATGACTTCTAATACACAATAATTGTTTGCTAAAAATATTTATATGAGCGCATAAAAAATGCGAGGTGGAAACGATGTGTATAAAATATTAATTTCATCGTAAATCTTGAATTGAATGCTACACGTGGAAATCGAAAACCAAAAATAGAAAGTAAGAAAATATTAATAATTTGATTTTTAATATGTTTTAATCATTTGAAATCAATAAACACATAACAATAGGTTATTATCAGTATCCTAATTACAAATAATTTTAACATAGATTATATTTGTATTTTATATAATAGAATGTTATTTTATGATGCTATTTACCAAGAATACAATTTTTGATTATATATTTCTTTTATATAAAATTGTATACATTGCATATTAATAGTTTTTGATTTTATCTGTGATAATTCTTTTAAATAATCAATGAGTTTTTGATAGAATATATATACTTCATATTAAAGAAGTACATAAGTTTTCAACTTTTTAGGATGTTGGTTGAATTGGAATATTTTGAAATGTACCATCGATTCTCTCTCGCCAAGGCGCTGCATTCCTATTTCCTATTTCTGCTTTTTTCTCTTTCATTATCTGTATATATCTTTGCATATGTTTTGTATGTATGTATGCGTGTGTTTGTGTATGTGCACATGAAGTAAAAAAACAATATACATTGCAATATTATTCATATATAATATATTAAAATATAATTAAGAAAATAACAATAATAATGTAAAATATAAAGTATAAAAAAAATCTATTCGAGTAATTTAAAATTTTGTTTTGTAGTAGTTTTTCTTTTTAACATTAAATTTAGCATTATAATAGAAAAAATATTATAATATTCAATAATTAAAAATTATATAATTAAATAATTTTTTTTGTGATATTAATATATTTTAATGATAAATTTGAAAAGTTATAGTATTGAATTTTAAATTATATATTTAATTTATAAATATAATACATATCTATTTCTACATATACATTTGTTATATAAATATAAATTTTTAAATTTTAAGCATTATTGAAAATAAATTGAATCAATAATTTTGATAAGTTCTATGATGTATAATTATTTTCTATTTTATTTTTATAGAAATTTTTGCAATATTTAAATGTGAAATAATATTGCGAATTTGAGTAAATTTTTTTTTTAATACATGTGCACATACTTGTCATCTTGTATATAAAATCTTATTATAATACATGTGATTTATTATGATCATAAGAAAAGTGATAACAAATGAAAAAAATATATTATAAATTTTATTAGTAAACGAAATAACATTTTGGATTTAATATCATATAAGTAGAATTTTGTTTCTTGATTTACAATAATAATCAGAACAAAATTTTTAACTATATTAGAGGCCATATGTACTGATAAATAAAAAATATTTCTCCAAAATTTTTAGAAAAATTATAAATTTTATTTTATATTATTTGTATATATAGTGGTTCCGAATCACCGCAATAAGCAAATTTCAAAACTTTGAATGCATGCAGCATTCTGTCATTTTAAGTTTTTTATTACTGTCATTTTTAAGTTTTTTTATCTGACAATATTCTCTTTATCTTTTACCTTATAATAAAATATTTTTTTGTTTATTCTTTCTGCAATGTATGGATTTCCTTTTTTAATCAATACATTCAGCCTCTACTATAATGAACGAGATAAAATATGGAAATGAAAAGATTAATCGAGAATACTAATTTTTAAATAATTATATAGATTATTTGTAAATATTTTTTGAATTTTTACTAACAAATTTATATTTTTTTTCTGGGTATCGTTTTACATTTGCTATAAATATTTTAATTTCATAATATATAAAATATAAAAAAATAGCCTATTTATGTCTAAGAAGCTTCCACAATATCTTATATATATAATATATATCTGTATGTATAATATATTACTTAACATAATTTTATTTTGTAGTTTTTGTAGTTTTTAAATATATGTGAATATTATACATAGTATAATAATAGTAAATATTATACAGTATATATTTTACAAAAATATTGTTATTCTTTGAATATATTATTTTAATGTTTTTATATATTTTTAAATATACAAACAACGAAACGTTTTGAATATATAACAATAATGAAATAAATTCATATGAATGTATATTTGATTCGACTTTGTTTTTGAAAAACAAATTGAATTTATATTATGATTACATATTAATTATTTTATTAACAAAATGACTTTTTTTATAAGAAAATTATATTCTTATAAAATATAAAAAATATTTTTTTTATCTTCGATTGTTTATAAGATATTATGAACATAAAATATTTCCAGATAAATTAATCATATTATATATGCATTAAAGTTATGATTTAATATTAATAAATATACATTTTTATGATTTTATTTGTTAGTATTTAAAATTAATTTTTATGTTTGAATAATTTTCCAAAGAATTATGTAATTTGTTTTATTTTTTATTAATTTTATTTTGTTTATTTATAATTATGATTTATATAAAATATTCTCTGCAATTTATATTGAAATTAATAGAAAGTTCTCAAAAATATTTCTATGATTTTTATACCAAATTAAACAATATTATGTTATAAATATAATATTTTTGCATATTATGTGATTATAATCATTTAAAGTAAATGTCAGAAGAGTAATTAATACATTTTAAGTGTTATAAGATATATATTATTAAAATTTAATTTATTCCATTAAAAGATATTTTCATTTTTCTTATGTCAAAAAATATATTTAATTTAAGAATTTATAAATATTAAATGAATTTATAAATTTAAGATTTATCTTCGCTATTTAAAATCAATTTGATTAAGATTCCAAATTAGTCACAAAAGAAAATTCTGAAATAGAATACTGATTTTTATACGAAGTCTTGCACAATAATAGGATTTGAGATATTAGAAATATTGCTATAAATATTTTAAGAGCAAACAAATAAAAGTTTACGAAATATTTAACGTTAAAATTTTTATTACGCTTTATTTTTTTAAGCGTAAGTAAGTAATTTTTTAATATATATTCTCTTAATTAAATTATAATTAATGAATGAAGGTTCGCTTTTTTTCAATAATTTTCTTTTTTCATTACATATATTATTAGTTGTTTTACCTTTAATAGATATATTAATACTTTAAACTTAATTTGTACGTAATCTTATCAATAATCTATTTTTATTATAATTTATACATAGAAAAAATAAAAGTTGAAATGAAAATATTAACATTAAATATTTCTTTTATAAACAATATATCTCGAAATTATTATATAAATTTCAATATTATTATATATATTTCAATAACTTCGATATTTAAATTTATAAATGGATAAAATCTTATATTATTAAAATTGTTCTACGATTTTTTTATCATTTTATATTAATGATGAAAAATATACAATAGTAAATGGAATATCAAAATAATAATATCATTTATGTAGGGATGGAGCGATTAAATAAAAGTAGTCATTTTGTTGCAAATAAGTAGCCAAAAAACATTCTTTTCATTTGATATGAATTAATACATTGATTAAATCACTATTCATAAAGTTACAATTTAATTATTATTGATTATCATATTTGTTTTTCAATCAAATTCTATTGATTAAAAAAAAAATTTTAATTTTAATTTCTTCTTAAAATATTTTACTAGTCTAAATTGAATTATTCTTTATTATTATGATAATAATAGTTTATATTATTTGTTATATTTATTAATTTAAAAAAAAAATAAAGAAATAAAGCATTTATCTGAAAAATAGTAAATATGAAATAATAAAAGTTAATAATATTTTGATATTATTATATTAATATATTCATATTAAAAATCGATTCTAGAAATCAACACAAGTACAAAATTTAACATATAAAAATTTATTTTATATGTTAATTATTTTTTAAGTTATAAGCAATTGAAGCAATTGATATTTAACATTAAATAACTCTATCTCCGTCGCTCTATCTCTTCATTTTATTTAATGTAAATTTAATTGTTTATAACTTAATAAATAAATCTCAAGGTATTTTTATATACTTTTTATTTTGATTTCTAAAATTAAGATCTTTCCAAAGATTCCACAATATTTATTATTCTGAAATTTTTTTAAAGTTTTTATACTTTGTGTTACAAAAATATTTTAGTAATAAAGTAACAATTTATTTGTTTTTATTTTTATTTTCATATTTTTTTTCTTATCAAGACTATATAAAAATAATAGAAATTATACGTGTTTTATGCAATGAAATATATTGTTATGATAGTGCATAATAAAACTTTTTCATTTTTTAAAAAATAAAATTACTTATAATTTTGAATATTTATTAAAATTAATAATTTTAAATTTAATAATTTTATTTCGGAATAAATTTTCTAATAATTTAAGCAGAATTTTAATATTTACAAATCAAGTGCGTATTTGATAAATATTAAAATTTATTTTTTTAAAATGAAATTAAAATGAATATTATTATTTTCGATTATTTTTTATCAAATCATATATTACATTATACATTACGTTATATCTTGTATTTTACTAGCAAAATCGTAAAATGAATATTAAAAAAAAAATTGTGCCTTAAATAAATAAATATTCTAATCAAATTAATTTTTTAACGTACAATATCATTTTTATCTGTACAAATATAAAAAAAAGACTTAAATAACTATAAAATAATTTTAATTTTTTAGTAATCTTGATCAATAAAAATCATGTTTGTATATAAAAAAATAAAATAACTTATGTATATATTTCGATAAAAATTATCTATATATGTATATATATATATATATATATATATATATGATGAATAAAAGTATATATTCCCTAATTAAATACTATATTTAATTTTTTCAATACTAATTTTTTGCATAAAGAATTTTTATTATATATCATATTTATGATTATTTAAAAATTTATATAATTGAATTTGTACTTGAGAACTTTTAAATTAATATAAATAGATAATTATATTTATATAATTATTTCAGAAGTTAGAAATATATAAGGAATATAAAAAATAATTAAAAAAAAAAATTTTATTTATCGTGAGATAAAAAAATTTTTTCCCACTTTTTTTTTTTACTACCAAATACAACGAATATTAAAAACTGTAATATGAAATTGGAATTTAGCGCCT